TGCAGCCGCTGCCACCGCCGCCGCTGCCGCCATGAAGCTGACAGACAGCGTGCTGCGGAGCTTCCGCGTCGCCAAGGTGTTCCGTGAGAACTCGGACAAGATTAACTGCTTTGACTTTAGTCCCAACGGCGAGACGGTCATCTCGAGCAGCGACGACGACTCCATCGTGCTCTATGACTGCCAGGAGGGCAAGTGAGTGCGGCGGTGCCCTGGGCTCGGCTCAGAGCACCTCCCTCTCCCGCTGGTGGCCCGCAGTGGCCCGCGGCCCGCCCAGAGTCCCGACTCCAGTCCCAGGCCTCTTTTGCACTCGCTCCTGACAGGGCCGCTTCCACCCCTCAGCCGTCCAGACATTTTTTCTCTCTCTCTTTTAAAAGGATGGTAGCCGTAAAGACGATCGCATGATTGTTTTTTGTGTCTTCGGCCTCCTCCTATCGCTTATGCACTGCTCACCAAACCCCACCTTGACCTTGACCTTTAAACGCCCTGGTTGCATCCCCGACCCCCGCAGCGAGCTCTTTTCCCCACACTGTGGCGGCCGTCGGCGGGGCTGGACGCCGCGCTGCAGCGCTGCACCCCGGCCCCCTCGCCAGCTTCAGGTCCCTGCCCTCCTCGCGGTGACCTCGATTCCGCCTTGGCGCACAGCCGGTGCTCTGCTACTCAGCTTCCCGCGGCCTTTACCTCGATCTGCGTGGGTTGCCGCTCTTAGCGGTCGGATTTACCTGTTGTGCGTCTCTGAGCCTCTTGGCCTTTTCTTCCTGTTCCTACTCATTTTTACTCTTTTTAAGCCCGATGCGCACGTTTATAGTGAACTTTTAAACTACATACTGAAACTTTTCCTCTTTGCCAGACACAAGCAAACGTAGCCTCCCATCCTGATCTCAGTGTGGGCTCCTGTTAAAACAAAGAAAGCATCCTAGAACAATTTCGTGTTTCCTCCTGCACTTGTTTTCCCCCTCCTAAACAGTTTATGGTTCACCTGGAATTACCAAAATTCTATATCTAATCATGAAAGTTTTATATTGTGCCAGATCATTTAGCGAAACACCACACCTGCATCTTTCTGCAATTCCTTATAAGCAGAGCTGGGATCCTTGTGCTGACCTTAGGCCTGTGGACTTGTCCCACGGTAACCTTTGGAGCAGACATTGGTTTATTTTAAATTTGACTTCCTCTCAACCACCTTTCCCAAGCAGGCCTGAGGGATGTTTGGTTTTGTCAGACTTGTTACCTAGTTCTAGGTCTTGTTTTCTGAATCCTTGGCTTTTTCTCTACTCTCTCCAGCTGTTCCATTTGCCCATTTTTGGTTTTGTTTTTTGTTTTGTTTCGAGACAAGGGTATCCCTTTGTACTTCAGGCTGGCTCAGAACTATGTACTAGAACTCACTATGAACCTCCTGCCTCAGCCTCAATGATAGGATTACAGACGAGCTACCAACTAGGCCCACTGTATTAAAAACAGACAGTGGCTTTTCTTTTTGAATTTATCGCTTCGTTTGTGAATTTGATTATCTAAAGTAGTGCTATTTGGTCTGAGCCATAATCCCCAGTATTTTCCTCAACGGGGACTATGAGAAAGTGTTATGTAACTGACTGTCGGCAGTTTGCGGAAGTGTCCTGCCATGATGCTCCTGGGGCGGGGGATTGTTAGCTGTGCACGTACTTAATGCTGTTCTTTAGTGGATGGATTTCTGTCCAGGTCTGGCCACTTGATTTGGAAGAAGGAGTAGCCTTTAAAGCTGGAGTTAGGGGGATGATAATTGGACTCCTGGAGGTGAAAGTAATTGAAGTTGATTTGTTTGATTTGTTGACTTTGCACAGATTAGAACCATCCACCACAACTTGAGGATGGAAATATATATACTATTTAAAGGAAATAAAGGTTATGATACTGTTTCATCACAGATTAATTCCCAAACGTAGCATAATTTCTACCTTTGGGAAGGATGGCAGTGACATAAAGTCCTGTTTTGTAAAATGCCAGTTCTATGAAATAATGTAGTTTATTCAGTCATGTAGCATTTTTGCATTATTACAGATTTAAGGAAAGTAAAAGAATGTTTCAAAGCACTTCCTTGGGGTTAAAAAAATACTTGAAAGAAATGTGAAAAAGTGGTTAAATTTTTCCCTTCTGGAGCCGGGGATTTAGCTCAGCGGTTCGGTGGCCTGCCTTCCAAGCACAAAGACCCGAGTTCAATCCCCGGTACCAAAAAAAAAAATTTTTGCCCTTCTGCTTTATCAGTCTGTATGTAAATATGTGTATGTATGCATTTTTTCCTGAGCCATTAGAGACTTAAATTGGAAGTATCAAGCATCCATATCTAAATTTTTTTTTTAAAGGCAAGGTCTTACTACAGTCCAGGCTGATTGAATTCCTAGTGATCTTCCTGCCTCAGCCTCTGAAATGCTGGGATTACAGCTGTGTTCCACATGCCTAGCTCCCTAAACATTTCAACATAGATTTCATAAGCACAAAGACATTCTCTTACATAACTAGAGCATGACTACCCAAATTAGGAAATTTAATTTTGCTGTAATACTATAGGGCATGCATTTTTGAATTTTCTCTGATCAGTTATGACTGCATGCCGTTTTGTGGTCTGTGGCATGAGAATGGCCTGGTAGTTAGGATACCAGAGTTCTGGTTTGGTGTTGTGACCAGGTGCAAGGCAGTGATCAAAATTACTTTTCTTTCGACCCTGTGATTTTAACTGGTAATGTTAAGTATTTTGTAGACCTAATCAACATTGGAAGAAAAGTAGAAATTCCTTAGAAGGCATAATATCTTATTGAATGTTACTGTTAGAATTGGGAGCCTCCAAGTGGCTAAAACATTTTCTGTGCATAGTGTTTTTCAGTTTATTGTCCATTTAAACTTTATAATGGAGTTCATCCATTGAGTGATGCTTCAACTTGAAAGAATATAAATGATGTTGATTGTGGTAGGTAATGCAGATTACTTGAAGAAGGTTTAATATTATTTTTTGTTCATACCTGGTCACCAGAACCTAGTTTAAGGGAAGACACTAAAATATTTGAGAAAGTATTATGCATGGACTTAGTAAAGCTACTTGAAATGGATATGAGACATTAAGACTTTGCTTTCAAACTAGGGAATAAAATGATGCAGTGAGCAGAGTGTAGTGCATGCCTGTAATCCCAGCAGTTGGGAGGCTGAAGCAGGAGGATCACTGTGAGTTTGAGGCCACCCTGGACTACATAGTAAGTTCAGAGCCAGCCTGAAGAAAGGGAGCCCCTGCCTCAAATAAATAAAAAATGATGTAGTAATTCTTTTATTCGAGACAAAACTCAGCATTTTAATAAACTTGAGGCACATAAGCCATACCTAAGTGGAACCCACTTTTTTTTCACCATTTGTTTTGTTTTGTATTAGACAGGATCTCTGTCTATTGCAGGCTGGCCTCAGACTCATCATAATGAGCCTTCTGCTTCAGCCTCTCGAGTCCTGGGATTATACCACACTGTTTGAAAATTGCCTTTCCGGGGTCAGACGTAGGGCCTCATGCATTCCCTGCAAGCCCTCTATCACTGAGCCACATCCCCAGCCCTGTCTTTTTCTGTTGTAGGTGGGCTGAAATACTAGGATTAACTTCTACCTCAGGTAGGTGTAAAGTCAGCTGAAATTAGAGAGCAACCACATGCATACTCTCAGGTTCATTATCGCTGTAGTAACTGTATAGCAGAAGCCTATAAAATGGACTGGACCAGGTAGCCTTTTTTTACTTTTTTTAGGAGTGAAATATTGTATTAACAAGGGTAAGCATGTGGAAAATCCAGTTCAGATGTTGTGAGAACTCCTGTTGAGAAATAGATTTTATAGAGAGAAGCCCTCAGCATTACTGACATTAACAAAAATTGAAAGTGACAGTGATTGATGTCTTAATGCTGCCTGAGTCATTTGATTGTTTAGCATCTAGGTTCCAAGAGGGTTTTACACTGAGAGGGTGAACTTTCTTTCATAAATTGGAACTCTTGGTAAACACCAGTACAGGTTTTTGTTTTTTTAAGACAGGGTCTTGCTATGTAGCTCAGGCTGGCCTTGAACTTGAGGCAGTTCCCCTACTTCAGCCTACCGAGTGCTGGGATTACAAGTGTGCACTACCACACCTGGCTTGGTACAGGATTTTAAGGTCCTTCTCATACCTATATGCAGAGAGCATTATGTTAGCTTTGTTACCTGACTTGGTGCATATGGAGAATTGTTCTAGCATTCAAATTGACTTTATAGAGATATTTGGGTTTTTTTAGAAAGACTAAGCATTGTGACAAAGCACTGTATTTAGTCACAAATTTTCCTGAGATCCATGTTAGCTCAGTGTTCAAGGTGGGTGGGTAATGTATAACTTGAAAATAAGTGATTTTACATTAATGTAAAAAGAAAAAAGCATTGCTAAGGAGAGCCAAGTATGCCTTCTAAAAGACTTTTGGCTGTGTATGTAGGGAGGCTGATGTCTTCAAGAGCAGGTTATATTAGGAAGGCAACTAGTTTTGCATCTGGTTTCAGTTTGATAAATCATTGCCCTCTTTAAGAAAGAGCTTTCTAAGTGAATGGCTTAAGAAAAGTTCTTGGGTTTAAGTATTCTCATATCCTTCTATGTTGTAATTTATAAGTTGTATTGTTTCCTGCGCCTTTCTCCCCAAGTAGATACAATACCCTTTTCTTTTTCTCAAAGGTTACTTTTGAACATTGTGGTAAAGCCTGAGTTTAGCTCCAACATTTACTTCTACTTCCTAACATTGGTCATAAGCATTAAGAGGTATTCTTTATAGTGTTTGATTATTTTTTTGGTGTGTGGATGTGTGTGTGTGTGTGTGTGTGTGTTTGCTTGCTAGCTGGCAGTGGCAGTATTGGCGGTAGAATCCAGGCAGGGGCTTCATACTGACCTGCAACCCCTACACTTTTGTTGCTGTTTATCTTGAGACAGGGTCTCACTTTTTTCCCCAGGTTGGACCTAAACTTGTGATCCTCCTGCCTCAGCTTCTCCAAGTGCTGGGATTATAGGTGTGCTTCCCTATCCTTAGCTTTTTTTTTTTGAGAAAGAGTCTTGCTCTTTTACTGGGCTAAAGCCATACCTCCTTCCTCGGCCCCTCAAATAACTGGAACTACAGGCATGTGCCACCCACCATACCTCTTCATTGATTGTTGTTTACTCCTTTTGTCTTTTTGTGGGTGCTGGTAGTATTTCTTTGGGTTTTGTTTTGTTTTTTTAGACTGGGTCTTACATATAGTTCAGGTTGGCCTGAAACTCACTGCAATCCTTCTGCCTCAGCCTTCCCAAATGTTGGGACTACAAGTGTATATCACTACATCTGCTTGATTCCTCCTTTTAGAAGAAATTCTGTTTTCTTCCATTAAAACTTACCAGGAATCCTCCCCTTGCCACATGCCACTCTTTATATTTGGAGATCTCAGATTATGGTGATGGAAGATTTTGATGGTGTTTTTTCTGTTTGCTCATTAGACCAAAGAGAACCCTGTACAGTAAGAAATATGGTGTGGACCTCATCAGATACACTCATGCAGCAAACACAGTTGTTTACAGCTCTAACAAAATAGATGGTAAGTAAGCCTTCTTTTGAGGAAGGTCATAGTTTCCTTTGTTAAATAGTTCATGGAACCTTTGTGACTACTTATGCTTTGTTATAGTTACTTTAAGTATTTTCTATGATGTTAGCAATGCTAATTACATCCTTACTATACAAGGAATGCTGGAAGCAAGCCAGTAGCACTTCTGAATGACTTAGTACTCAGTAGAAAAAATCTCTAGTTTACAGTGGGAACTGGAGGAGGAAGCAGCTATATTTGTGATTTGTACTTCTTGAAACTTGAAAGAAATGCTTTGAGAACAAATAAAATAATACTATGCACAGCAAGTGGTGAACTACTGGACCTTCCCATTTAAAGTGTGTGGATTTGAGAAAAGTTTTCACAAATGTTTGAACTATGATAGTTTAAGGGAAGTTAGAAAAGTTTTTGGTGTGTGTCCAGACTTTTATCGTCTTTGTCATAAAAGACAGTGACTTTATTCATCTTTAATTCCAAGGATACTTTCTTTTTTATTATTAGAGATTGAACCAAAGATCTCACATTGAGCTATATCCCCAGCCCTTTTCATTTTTTATTTTGAGATAAGATCTCAGTTAGTTGCCTTTGTTGTACATGCAATCTTCCTGCCTGAGATGCCTGAGTACCTAGGAGCCACCATGGCCCTCCCAGACATACTTTTTTTAAAATCTGAATTTTATTCCTTTTTACTCTTTACTACCCATTTTCCCTAGTGCTGGGGTCTTGAGCATGAGAGGCAAGTCTAGCCTTTTCCTTTTGATTTTTTTTTTTTTTTTTTTTTTTTTTTTTTTTTTTTTTTTTTTTTTTTTTTTTTGGTACTGGTACCAGGGATTCCTTTTGACTTTTAAGTGAAATCTTTGAAGAGGAAAGATTTTTTGAAATTAAAACTTGTGAATTTCTTTTTGTAATAAATGGTCCTATTTTTATCTTCATTTTCCCTGGGAGAAATCCAAGTTGACAGATTGTCTTGGTGATTAAGTTGTAACATTTCACATGTTAGAATGTTTTTTTCTTTTCAATTACATCACTGATTTATTGCCCCCCCCTTTTAATGTTTATTTTTGAGGCAGGGTCTCTATATGGTTCTGGCTGGCCTTGAATTTACAGTACTTTGTAACTCAGGCTGGCCTTGAACACCTGGCATTCCACCTGCCTCAGCCTTCTCCCAAGTGCTGGGATTACAGGTGTGTGACACCACACCTTGCTGTTTTGCTCTTTGCAGTAAGATTTTTCTAATGTCTTTCAACAAGGATTGCTTAGACTGTTGTTTGGGCTGTATGTCAGCAAATGGACAAAAGTCTCTTTTTTATTTAATGAGACTTTTCTACCTATACTTGTACCTGTACATATACTTGATTTGGGGGATGGTACTGGGGATCGGACTCAGGATCTTGGGCTTGAGAGGCCAGTGCAGTGCCACTAAGTTAAATCCCCAACCTATACTTGATTTTTAATAAATATATAATTTCTACCTTTCATATCTATTTCAGAAGTAGTTTTCAATGTAAGCAATGTAGTTGATCATTTTGTACAAGAATATAAAACATTAGGATCCTAAAGAAATATGTATATGTGATTATCTAAATGACTGGTGTATTTTTCTGTTGGGTTGCTTTTCTGAGTGATTAATGAGGATTCTTCAAATGTGGTGCAAGATGAGGCAAATATGTGGCACTTGCAGCTTTGCTGCCAGGCCTCTGCTGTGGGGATGTTACCTTTCCTGTCTCAAGTGCATCCTGAAGAGTTTCTCCAGCGCTACGTTTCCTTTTGCCTGATTCCAGGCTGAGGTAGTAGTTTGTACAGTTTGAGGGTCTATGATACCACCCGGTACAGGAGATAACTGTACAGGCCACTGCCTTGCCAGGAACAGCGCGCCAGCCACCAATTGGGGCAGAGAGGATGGTGAAGCCCTGCTCATCTCTGGGAATCCAGGTAATGGGAGGGAGTTTTTTCTTCTTAGGACTGGTGAGTACTTCTAGCATTGGAATAACTAGGAATGCTTGCCATTTGAAAAGTTTGAAGATGTTTTTAAGGAAGTGGTGTAGATCCAGGTATGAAACATAAAGAGTACCTTTTTTCCCCCTCCTAGGTTAAATGCATATTTATTAGAAAGCATCCTTGTGAACCACTGGGTGAACTACTGACACTTTCAATTTGTTTATTCCTATTTTCCATTTACCTTTACAATGTTCTTTCTATGCTTTTTTTCTCCCCTCCATACTTTTTCTATTACCTTTTTCCCAGTAACAGCTTTTTCTTTTTCTTTGTCTTTTTAGGAGCATAGTACTTTCCACTTTGGTTTTTTTGTTTTTTGGAAGTACCAGGGATTGAACTCAGGTCTTTCATACTGAGCTACATCCCCAGCCTTTTTATTTTAAGACAGTCTCAGAACAGCCTCTCAGAATGATAAGATTGCAGGTAAGCACCACCACACCAGGACTTTTCTTTCTTCTTTTTTGTGGTGCTGGAGATCATCTAATCCAGAGTATTGCACATGCTAGCTAAGCATTCTACCACTAAGCTACATCCCCAGATCTTTTTTATTTTTTATTTTGAGACAGTCTCACTGAGTTGCCCAAACTGAGCTTGAATATGGAATCCTATCTCAGCCTCCCAGAATGCTAGGAATACAGACGTGTATTACACCACCAGTTCAGTTCTTTTTTTGTTTTGTTTTTTTTTTTTTTTTTTTTTTTTTTTTTTAGTATATACTTGAGATACATCAGTTCTTTTTGAGGGGATGGGTATTGGGGATCGAACTCAGGACCTTGTGCTTGTGAGGCAGGTGGCAGAACCACTGATCTAAATCCCTGGCCCTGTCAGTTCTATTGTTTATGGCACTTCATTCCCCTACTGCTACCACTTTCTTGTTTCTTTTTTCAGATAGAATCTTTCAGTTTTTGTGTTTTTTTTTTAGTATATGTGCTGCCGAAGCGAGCACATCTTTCAGTTTTTTAAGAGAGTACATCTTATTTTTCCTAAGCAAAAATATTTGATTATTCCTTTCTGTACATCATCAAAATTTTACTGGTATAACTCAGTATGTTTCATGCATCTTAAGACATTACTTCTCCTTCCGTTTACTTTCAATGTAAGTTTTGTCTCCAGTTGAACATTGGGATGGGTCAGCCCTGTTGGAGAATCCTGGGTAAAAATTTACTGCCAACAGCTGGGGATTTAGCTAAGTGATTCCACCACCTGCTTCCCAAGTGCAAGGTCCTGAGTTCAATCCTCAGTACCAAAAAAAAATTTTTTTACTGCCAAGGCTGGGCATAGTAGTGTACCCCTATAATCCCAGCATTCAGGAAGCTGAGGCAGGAAGATCATTGCCGCAAGTTCAAGGCCAGTTTGGGCTACATAGTGAGTTCAAGCCTTACCTGAACTGCATAGCAAATGTAGATAGATAGATAGATAGACAGACAGACAGACAGACAGACAGACTAGCAAATCTAGACAGATAGACAGACTAGCAAATCTAGATAGATAGACAGACAGACAGACAGACAGATTCACCCACCGACCCCCCCAGCCAGCCAGCCAAGGTCCATCCTGACCTTCAGCTTAGTGTGTCTGCTCACTTCTTTGACCCTATTTCCTCAGTAGCCAAACAATTTTAGGTTTGCCATTCTGTGAGTACTGAGAACAGTGTCTAATTCTTTTTTTTTTTTTTTTTTTTTTT